CTCCCTCCCTCCTCCCTCCCTCCCGGGTCCTGCCCTGCGCGGCCCTCCCCCTCGCGACCCGCTTGTCAAAACAGCCCGGCGGCGCGACAGGCCAGGCCAGGCCCCGCGCGCACCCCGCAGCACCCCGCCAGCCGCTTGCAGAAAATTTCGCGACCCCAAACGGCGCGGCGGCGATGGACGCCATCACCACCCACACCCACCCCCTCCCCGCAGCGCCGCCGCGTCGCACAGCACACCCACCCGCCCTCGCTTCGTACATAGAATGTGCGAAATACGGCGAAAATAGCGCACCTTTGCCAAATGACCACGCGTTGCGCTCCTCTTGGAGGTCGGCGACCCCGCGGGTCGTGTTGGCTTTAAAGTGAAGGGAATGACAGGAGGGGCGCGTCTGACTCTGCCGCCGCGGCTGAAGTGTCTGAGGCTATGACAGGCGTGACCACGTATCCCGCCGAGGAACGTGACAAAGGCCTCCTGCTGGCGCTGGCGGACACGGACTCGGCGCCGACATCGATAGCTCGCTCCTCTTCGCCCTCCCTCGACGCCACGACGACCGCCACGGCCCGCCACACGCCTGTTTGTTTGTTTTTAAAATATTTGCTCACGGCGATGAGCCTCTGAACGACCCCTTGAATTTATGACAAGCGTGGCCCGACCTGCAGGGAGGAAAGGGGAGGGAGGAGGGAGGGCAGGGAACCCCTTCCTTCCCCTCAACCCCCTCCCGACGATGCGTCTTATTATACCGGTATACTGCTGCAGCACGCCTGACCCAGTGCGCTGCACTTCGCGCGTGTCGTCTGCTGCTTAATCGAAAACCAAATTCTTTTATTTTTCCGCGTGATTGTGTGTGATTGGCTTGACGTGTTGCGGTGTCGTTGCGAAACGGGAGGGAATTCCGCGGTTAAGCCTGGCAGTAATTGGAACTCCTCGCGCCTATGATGTTAGTCTTTATTCGTGGGGCGCCCCCCCCCTTCCTTCCCTCCCGTCTTATTCTATCTCTATCTCGCGTCAAATCCGTGTTCCGCACCCCCCCCCTCCGCCCCCTCCGCCGTCTTGACTTTGCCCCTCTAGGCGCCCCTCCGGGCTTGCGCGCGTTCTTTTCGGAAGCATCAGTGCGTCTTGTTGTTTTTGTCGTTTAACCCACCGCCTCCGCTGCACCAGCCCCGCCACGCCCCGCCACGCCGCCCGCCGTGGAGATTTTCCTACGTCCGCCCCGCCTTATGCGGCTGGTTATCTGGGTTTGTTTCTATCGACCGGCTGCTACGTATGCGTGTATGTGCTCCGAGATAACCGTGTGGCATGTTTGTATACAGTTCGTCGTGGGGTTTGCTTTTGTTGAATGAAACGGAAGGAGAGGCAGGCGGGGACAACCGGAAAGGTCTTCTTAGATTCGCCCGCGCGCCCCGGCCCCGAGGCCGAGCGAGGTCCCTCATGAAACTCGTGGTGCGTTCAAGTATGAAAGTAAGTAGGCGTCCCTTTTATAACTTTTGGGCTGTTTTCGTGAAAGGGAATTTCCCCCGGCGGGAGCCCGAGTAAGTGCCACCGGGGCGGAGGTCCGCCCCCGCGCCCCGCGCCCCGCGGCGGGCTGCCCCCGCTGCCCCCGGCCCGTCACCGCCACCGCGCGCGGGGCCCTTCCCTTCTGAGCGGCCGTTTTATTTCCAAAGCGGGAGCGATGGTGGGAAGATACGCAGCCGTAATGGGCGTCTCGTTGTTATCCGTTTTTGATAAAATGGGGGGCAATTTGGCGGTGGGGGAAGGGGAAGGGCGAGGCCCTCAATTTTCTGACATCCGAAGAAAACAAAATGTATTCTGTACCAGCCATCAGTAGCATGTTTTATATTGTTATTATTGTTTGCTTCTCTTATGCCGTGAGCTCATAATTTTCTATAAATATATTGCCCCTCTCCAGGTGTGGCGTGTGAGCGGGGAGGCAAGGGCGCGCGAGGCTGATGGCGGCCTTTTCCGCTGATTTGAAACTCAAGCCTTGAATATCGGGTTGCGCGCTGGCTCTCCCGAAGAGACCGGGGCGCTGACGGGGCTGGGCGGGCGGAGAGCCGCCCGCACTTTGCGTCGTGTGTGTGTGCGTGTGGGAACTCCACCACCATACCATGCCTTACCACGCCACGCCAGGCCGCCGGGCGACTTTCTGTCGCCGGTGCTCGCCAACAAGGGCGTGGTGAGGGCCATACTACACATGGCTCACCCACCAGGTGACGGCTTTGCCCCTCGCGCACCCCGTAGCTTAGACTGTACCGCCACGCACGCGCGCGGGCGGGTTGCCTACTCGCTTAGGGGCTATGGTCGGGGAGGCTGCACTGCGTGTCGTGCAACTACGAATGTTGCACAGCAGCTAGAGAACCCGTCATCCGTCTTGAAGGATGCGGCCGCGAATATCGGACTTCGGAACTTGTCTATGTGTAGGCTGTATCATCAGTTAATTAAAATGCATTTTATGCGGAAGACAATTTTCAAACAATTCATACAAAATTCTTACTAATTTTTATTTTGTGCATCTGCTGTACGAGTGGATACAGAGGTGCGCGAGTACAGGAGTATTTCATACTCTGTGGCTGGGACGGGCGTAGTGGGGCCGGGCCGTGGCAGCACGATAGCCAGTGAAGGTATGATGCGCCCTGTCATGCCACCTTGCTGCTTGCTTCAATTCTGATTTTATTTTTCTAACGCCTCCCTCTCTGAAGTCGTCTGTGTCGTGTCCGGCCCGCCCGGTCCCGCGCTCCGCTCCCCGCCGCGCCACCGTTCCCCGGAGAGTGGCCCAATAATGCTGCTACTTGCTACTGCTCCCGAGTGTTACGCCGGAGCGAGGCGAGGAGGGCCCTCCGCGTCATCGTGGCCAGCGCCGCGACCACCATCGGCACCGACCAGCCGGCCGCATTACCGATTGGCCATGCGCGCGACGGCGCGTGAAGGCGGCTGGGTACGGCGGCGCCCCCTCCCTCCTCATCCCCCCCTCCTCCTCCGCATGATCCAACGGCAGCGGTCTAGGACCGGAACGCGTTCATGGAACAGTAGCAACAGCCCCCCCAGCACAGCCAGCTAGCGAACCCGTCATCCGTCTTGAAGGATGCGGCCGCGAGGCGGCGCGCGGCTTCTTTCGGAATGTACTTTTTATGCTCGCGTATACTCTACCCTACGTCATCCTCCTCGTCCTCCTCCAATAGCGCTGATCGGCCGCGGGGCCATTCCCCTCTCTTCTCCCTGCGCCGCGCGGGTGCAGCCAGCAGGATGGCATGGCCGTACATTACATCCCATTACATTTTGTGCGTCGTGCCCACCTGCTTCGTCGTCGCGACGCGTCGTGACTCCCGCGGACCCGGGGCTGCGGCGCGGGTGCTGAACTCACCAGGCGCACTGGACAGCGAACAGCGTGCGCGGTGGTGGCGGTGGTGGCCTGTTCTGTTCCCCCCCGGCCCCGGCCCGCCCCGCAGCCTGTGCCTGTCCGCACGAATAACGTGTTAGCGGGGCACTTTGTGGCGCACGGAGCGGTACGGCACGGCTACGGCCACGGCCCGGCGGGACGGGCGCGTCAAGGAAACTCCTTGTACGGCCAGCCTGTCCGGCGGTGCACCGCGCGCCGACGCGACGTCCACATGCACCTGCTGAAAGGCGACAAGACCGAAGACAGGAGCGCGACCCCGTTCTTTGCGACGACAGACGCCAGTCTGGCTACCGTCGCGAGTCCTAGACCTCTCGACTGGCAGGGCAGGGCTGGCTGCTTTGTTGCTCCTCTAGCTCCCCGTCGTGGGCGGGGCCGGGGCAAATCGGGGAAGTCCAAGTCCTCCCACCGCCAGGAAGATTGAATTCACATTGCGGTTCGCTGCGAGCGACGAGTATCCTATGCATGACACTGCGGTCTGCCCGGGCCGTACCGGGCCGTTAGTGCAACACGTCGACGCCGCCGAGTCCATATGATCGGCGACGGCCAGGGCCGCGATCAAACCACATAAAACGTAACAATGCCTGCCTGCACCACTAGCCTCGCCGTGCGCGGCGCGCCCGCGCGCGTGTGTGTGTTAGTGTGCCGATCGGTACGTCCCGGCGAGGCCCATATCGCATGAAGAGCGCAACGCGCAGTACCAAAAGCCCTTTCCCTCCTCTCGAGTCCCGTTGCGGCTGCTATGGCTGCTTTTGCTATTATGACGTCGGGGCCGGGCTGTCCAGGTCTGCAGACTCGGATGCGATACTACAGTCACCGTCTGTTGTTGTTCTGCCTTCCAATCGCGGCACTTCCCAGCATTTACCCACGCCCTCGCAGCGCGCATTTGATGGTTCTTGCTTTGTTGTTCGTGTTTCTAAAACTCGTCTGTGTTGCTCGTTGTTGCAGGGATGGCGCCGTCCTCATTGTTGGCGTGCATGTCGTGCCTCGCGGTGTTCACCGTCGTGGTGGATGCCCGCGCTGCTGCCGCCGGCGGCGCCTCGGTTGCGGCCCCGGTTGCGGCCCCGGTTGGCTCTCCCGTTGGCTCTCCGGTCAGCGTCCCGGTCAGCGTCCCGGTCAGCGTCCCGGTGGTCGGCGCCCCCGTCGGCGTCGTGGCCGCGGACGCGCGCGACCGCGTGCGTCGGGCGCCCGCTCCCGCACCCGAGTCCGAGTCGCTGGTGCTGGGCATGCCCCCCAGGAAGGGCGTGAGCTGCAAGTACGCCCCGGTGTTCGGCTACCTGTCCGCCGACTGTGCGGACCTCGGGCTCGAGGGCATACCGCCCCTGCGGCCCGGCGTCGAGGTGAGTGAGTGCCGCAGTGCAGCCGCGGCAGTTGGGTTGCCCACCTCGCGGGCGGGCGCGCGCCTCCACGGCTAAGCGACCTTCCAACTATCCATAACCGCCCGTCTCCTTGCCCGCAGGCGCTCGACATGTCCGACAACAAGATGAAGTCCGTGCTCAACAGCACGTTCGCTCGGATCCCTAACCTGCGAATCCTCTACTTGAACGAGAACCGCATCAAGGTGGTCGAGGCCGGCGCGCTCGTCATGCTCCGCTACCTGGAGGTGATAGACCTGTCGGGCAACCGGCTGCAGGCCATCCCCTACGGGCTGATGGAGCTGCCCCGGCTGCGCAAGCTGTACTTCGCCGACAACCTGCTCGGGAGGCTCGACCCCTCCTTCGTCTTGTGAGTCGCGCCTTCGGGCCTTGGTTGCTGATTGGAGTTGTTGTGGTTGTTGAAAAGTGCCCGTTTGTGACGATGGTGTCTTTGATCGTGTCCACAGCGCCAGCCCAACGCTCCAGCTGCTGCAACTGTCCGAGTGCAGCCTGCCCGAGCTGCCCCTGGGCGAGCTCCCCGAGCTGCTCAACCTCAACGTGTCGTACAACGCGCTCAGCTCGCTGCCGCTGCACGACCTGTCGGCGATGTGCCGCCTGCAGTCCCTCGACCTGTCGCACATGTCCGAGACGCTGTTCGAGGAGCTGGACATGGAAGAGGCCTGCCAGTGCCAGACTTTCATGCGGTGGGCCAAGTTGCGGGGCATCGACCTGGGGCGGTCCACCAGGATCATCTGCAGGAACGATACCAACAGCGCAGGTAAGGAGGTGGAGCATCTTTTTCCGATACGTGTTGTAGTGATGGCGATGATCGTGATGCACTAACGCCGTGTCCCTGTGCTGTCCGCAGACGACCCCTACATGCCCACCTGCAACGCGACGCAGGTGCAGGCGGTTGCCCTCGAGATGCACGGGCGGTGCGTGAAGGCCGAACACATGGAGATGCGCGCCCAGATGCAGAGCTGGTGGGTCATCGCCTTCTGCGTGGCGGTCTCCACCATGTTCGCGTTGGCCGTCGTCCTCTGTTACTTCGGCCGGCGCAACGCCGAGCCCCGACACCACAAGGTGCCCGTCGTGGTGGTGACGGACCCCGTCCACGCCAACGGCGCCGTCCCCAGCGCCCACCACCAGGGCCGCCACAGCCGCCACGGCCGCGGCGGCGGGGGGACGTCGTCGCCGGACGGCAAATAGCACAACGCCAAGGCCAACGCGGCGGGGGTGGGTGCCGCGCTGGCCATCTCGGACTTCCTCATGGCAGCCGACATACTCCACAACATCGCGGTGCTGCGCGGGCAGATCGCGGCGGAGGCGTCCCGCGACCCCTCGCTGCTGCGGTTCGCGGCGCGCAACGGCCACGACCTCAGCGACATGGGTGAGGCCGGCTGCATGGCCATGTCCGCGGCCGAGTGGCAGCCGCGCGGCTCTTCCAGCGAGTCCGGGGCCTCGGGCACGTCCGGGGACGACGACAGCGTGGCGCGGCGCGCCCGCGCCCTCCGCGACGACATGGCGAACCGGCGGCGGCGCGACATGCTCGGCGGGTACCCGCACCCGCGGCACCCGCCGCCCCCAGTGCCGCAGCCCGCGGCGCAGCGCAGCCCCGTCATCCTCACGAGGGTCACGTCGCAGCCGAGGCCCACGCGCCTGAGCACCCTGGAGGCCAGGCAGCGGGAGCAGCAGCGCGAGCAGCAGCGGGAGCAGCAGCGGGAACGGGCCGCCTTCAGATTGGCCAACGGCCGGGTGCGCTTCCCCGAGTACGAGCTCGTGGAGCAGGACGAGCTGGACGAAGGGGAAGTGTCGGACGACCCCTCCTCCAGCATGCTCTCGCAGATCCTCTCCATCAGATGAGAGCGAATGTGGCGACTGGAGTGGTCGCCGTCGAATGTCAAGTGACAGGAAGGGGTGAGCCAGTGCAGCGGGTTCCTAGAGGGACACATCTAGGGCCTGCAGCTCTTTAGTACTGTCTCACCCCCACCCCCTCTCTCACACGAACTAGGCTGGCCTCAATTCGTACTTTTGAGGGCCACTTTTCTTCTTCGTTTTATGAAGAAGACAATCAGTGGTACTTCAAAAATGTGATGCTGTGAAAAGTATCTGTATGTGCTGCTCATTTTATGCACCTGACTTTGTGACAAGTTCCTCTTCCCATCAATGGCAACTATTCAGACTTAATGACTCATTTTAACTGTACAAAAGTGGGTTTTTGTAGCTCATGTGTTCTGTTATTTATTTTTCTTTGGTTTAGTTTTCCCTTGGGGCATTTTAAGATGTCA